AAAAAAAAAAAAAAAAAAAAAAAAATCAAATCAACCTTGAAGTTGGTGCAAACACCTGGAATGAACTTGGTAGAATTACATCTGGATGTACATGGTTTATGGCTTGCCAGAAAATTAATTCTATAATGTTTTACAATCACTAACTGACTTTTCTTGCTTTATAGTTAGGCAAAGTGTCACTCTCTTGCTTCCCAGGGCATGCCTATTTACAGCAGGGTAGAATTTAGTCCTAAAGAGTTTGTGTGCTCAAATTTGTATCATTAATAAAACATGCACAAATTATGGTCCTATACACTCAGCAGCACAGTTAAGTCATTGCTGTTTCTCAGTACTATTTTAAACACTGGGAATTGAGAGACATTAAACCAGAGTCACTATATCAATACACTACAAGTACAACATTACATTATAAACCAGTCTTGCACAGCAGTACAATTCCCTACATTTTTATAGAGGTATTGTGCATCATTTGTTGATACCATCATAGAAACGATAACAATTTAATTTTGCAGTTCTGGAGAGCTTTGACTTATCTGTTGTTTGGAGTTATGACTCCAGAGCACAAACTTCAGAGAACTAGTCAAGCCAAAGTATAATTAGTAAATAACTCCTAGGAAACACAATATTTGGAGCATGTCATAGTTGCATATAACAGTAATGAAACTGTGCAGCAACTGCCATTCTGCTAATAATCCCAATACATATTTTAGTGTAATTTGTACAGCTAATATCTTTCTTACTTTAATTTATAGTTTGCTATATTTTTATTGCACAGTGCCTGACAATATTTTAATTAGCTTTACTTTTAAATAGTGAAGTTTATACTAATGTTCAATGTAGATCTGAATGGGCTAAGCCAGATACTACTCAGATACTAGAAATATAAACTATAAAATAAGTTCTGTGATCCTTAATAATGCACAATTCTGATTTCAAGTTTACAGGTCCTACCACGTTCTCAGTGGTATCGTCTTGCACCGAGTTGGTTCATGTAAGGATTGATTTAGTTTAATAGGATGTGGCCAGATCCTTGCAGAATCTGGCTTCTAATTATAATAGACTGCATCTTAAATCACACTCAATTAAAATTAACATAATTATGATTCAAAGCCCACAAAGTTCTTATGAAGGACTCCTTTTTATTTTATTGTACATGGGCACAGGCTCATCATTGCCGAAGTTTTGCTAATAGTTCTCTCTTCACTAAAGAGAGATGAAAGCTTGAGCCTACTCACATGGGAAATTTTTGCTCAGGTGAGCAGGAGTTTGAAGGCTTGAGCCCAGCGTAAGTGTACTGTTTTGCACGAAAGGAGCAGCTATTGAACAATGTCCTTCGGCAAACATTAGGAAACACTGAAGAATCACAAAAACCTGCCAAACACCTCTTCTTAGCAAACTTCACATGAGCAAGAAAAAAAAGAAAAAAGAAAAGAAAAGAAAAGAAAAGAAAAAAGGAAGACTGATTCTAGTATACTAGATAACCAAGTCTAAGTTTCCAGTAAATCTAATTTTTAGTATGCTTAAAATTGACCACCAACTTAATTCTTGGGCTACCTGCACTGACTTCAGAGGAATTGCATTGGGGAAGCTTGCCCTAACAGTTTACATCAAAGTATGCCCCATAAATGCTGCCAGAATAAAAACAGTTTAAGAATATCCCTTCTTAACTAAGATATTAGCTCACGCCTAGGCTAATAGAGCATCAGACCCTAGTTATTGTAGTATAGACTGAATAGAAAGAAAACCTGAAGTGTACAGAAGCTAATAATATGGTCCATGGTCTAAAGCCTTCCCTTTGCCGACCCCATTAAAAACACAGGGGTCACCTTGAAAAATACTTGCCAGTCATATTGTCTATTTAACCAAGGAGAAAGGCAAATTGTTTAAACAGGATGACTACTACTACTTTGACATATGCCAAACAGTGAAACAATTAGATTTCTACATTAATCCAACTACCTTGTCCGCCCAATCATGGAATTGTTTTTAAAATTATTTTTCATTTTTGTAATAGGATTTTTCCAATAGAAGTTACTACTTTTGCTTAAGTTTCTAGATTGGCGTCTCCAAAAAGACAAAAGATAATAAATATTGTGAAATCCTATATCTTTCCTATTACAGTTCTTCTAAAAGGAAATTTTTAGGACAATGCAAGTAGTGTTAACTGGCTCCATTGAGATGATAAACTGGTCCAAATTCAATTTGCTTTTAGCTTCGTAAGTAATGAATATTCTATCATCTGCAAAAATCATTTAGGTGGTTATACTTTTTGCAGATCACTAGTAAACCTATAAAATGAATCAGGAAAAAAAAAATCACTTGAAGTTAAATCTTTCAGCAAACTGAAAGAAGTTAAATTATATTTCAAATTATTTATCTACACTATTGTTGATTAATACTTTATATTTTGGTGAATGAGGTGCCTAAGTAGCATCAAGTTTCATATGTAAATATGTGTAATACACTCTACTTGAGGCAGAGAGCATTTTGTACAGGTTCTCAATAATAGCTTAATACTTTGAGAACTATTTGTTTTGACCTATCCTGCCTTGCTCAGTTTTGCCAGGTATTAAATGCTCCTAGAGAGAACCTAGAAATGTTATATTCATCTGTTTGAATGAGACTGTAGCCCTCATAACCTTACTTGTTCTTTAATTATTGCACCCTCTGGAAATTGACCTTTCCACAAGGTTATTTTCATGGGGTTTTTTGAAGTTCTGCTCAGAGAAGTGTTTTCCCCACAACATCCCGCCCCCAATTATGCCACAAAACTGGCTAGTTAGAAAAGCATAAAGGAAAAAAAAAAAAAACTGTTGCACCATCCTAAATATTTCAGAAAGGGCAAAAAAGGAGAGGAGCCAGGTATTTTATTAAGTCAGCATTATTCAATGCCAGTTGCAGGGTAAGAGTAGCAAGTGATGAATGCAAAGATCACAGGCTGAAAGCCATCCTCAAGTGAAAGACTGATGGGCAGCTCCAGATTATTACTTTCCCTCCCAAAGTAACTGAAGTCCCTCTACCTGGTACATAACACAGATATTGCCTGTACTTCAGGGCAATCACATATTATCATCAGATCACTTTTTGCAGATAGCCTAATGGATCATAGCAGTGGCTGGAGGTGCGAGGAGGGGGGAATTAAATGCATTTTACACACATTTAGGGGTTCTGATTGTAGCCATGTTGGTCTAAGGATATAAGCAGACAAGAGTCTTTGGATAAATCTGATATCTTTTATTAGACCAACTCAAACAGTTGGAA